GGGTTATATCATTTTAATATACAATAGATTATAATGAATGAAATATAAAAATAAAGTTTCTTTCAGTATGAACAAAAAAAAGCACTAGAAAAATTTTATACAGATATTACATTAAAATCACATATAGTCAATATAAATACAAACATTTAGTTTGAACATATAGGGTGAGACCGCATATCCTGGACATTCTGCAATGCAGGCCCTGCACCTAATATCAGGAACCTCTACCTATATAGGTACACCACGCGACTAAGGTATACTGTATTACATACACCATCATTTTTTTTATTATCATTAGCAAACTCGGAATAGCCACATAAGTCATCATTATTGCAGTCATGCTCAAAACAAGACATTCATTCTATTTATTCGAGAAGTGATAAAGAATACAATAGGCTGCCAGACAAATAAATATGAATGTATTCTTTGATATTTTTCGTATGGTTTTCACTCGCTTTCATTTTGAATGTACAAACAACTTTTTTCACTGAATGTTAATTATGTTAGCTCGCGCTAACCAAAACCATACATTAGTGCCATCTATGTTTGTCTAGAAATATCGTGAGAGGAGTAATAGAAATTTGATGAAAAAAGGGAAAGAAACCATTGTTTCTCAACTTCTCTCCAGGCTCCAGTGCAGACATTTTGTAAAATATAATAACATTGTCTATGAGACAATGATAATAATGCTATTGCAGCATATTTAGTATTTTGTCTGACACATGGGACACAAAAACAGTAAAATAAAAGAATGGATTCATTCAAATATTTTCTTTGTTAATGAAACTGCTTCAACACAAAGATCAAGATCGGTTGAAAAAATGTTCTTGTTTATACAAATCTACTTATATCTCCAACATCTTTCATAGAATAATTTCTATACTAACAGCTCATTCGCATACACCAAATACCTACTGTTACCTTTTACTGAAAAGTTTATTGTATTAGTTTGAAACTGTCCTTGTAGGACGAAACTGCAGTACCATAAGTTACAAATACAAGTGGTATAAAAATAGAAAGTTTCATTTCTAATTTCAATAAGATAAAGTATTTGGTGTAAGAAGTATGAACAAGCCATTGGATATGAAACTCAATTTCTACTCTTTACCTAACAAATTTTAAATGATAGGAGGAAGGCATGTAGTTCTTTATATTGGATGTTTCTTCACTTGCATATCTGACATCACATTTTGGTATAAAATTATGTTGCTGAACTATTTACATTCTCAATAAGAATTATAGCCACACCTCTTCTTGGAAAAATGAACAAAACTACCAATCACATTTAGAGTTCCAGTTTATTATACATGGATTCATTAATTTCATTAATAACTCTAGACAAACGCCATTTATCATCATTGCAGAATGGATCAGATGTTGCAATATCCACATACTCAATTGAAAGAGGTAACACCAATCTGAAATCACTTAAATATTTAATATCATTAAATACAGCTCCGTACTCATACTAACCGTAAAGAATGTAAAAACATTCGATAAGGTAGAATGTCTTTTCTATTACTATAAGTATAATCTCCAATTATTGTATGTCCTAAATATGAACAGTGAACTCTTATTTGATGTCTCCGACCAGTAACGGGTTTCACTAATATTTTTGTTGCAGGATAATTATTGTAGAGTCCTTCCTCAAGTACCAGAATGATTGTTCTAGCATTACGTGACTTTGTACAGAACCCTGAGTTTTCTGTACACATTTTTTGAATTTCTTTATATCTTATGTCTTCACCTGCAATTTGATAATAAATTGTATGATGAATGAGTATTCAATTTATCAAAAATAATTTGGTTACTATACCTATTGGAATATTCAAGTCAACAATTTCTTTCGAAAACAAACCATATACTAGGGCAATATAAAATTTTCTAGTTTTTCTTGATGAAAAATTGTCAGATACTATTTTACAAGCTTTTTTATTTATAATAAATTAGCCGCCTTCTTCTTCTACGATTTTGGTTGGTCCTTGTTCTCAGAAGACATTTGACCAACTCATTAGAGATAATTCAACCACCACAGAACATATAACATATTTCATTAGTGCCTTTATTTGGACAAATCGTAAGCATACAAATTTGATCCATATTTGAGCTATCACAACTCAGACGTCAATATTTAGTTATATGAGAGAAAGTGAGAAATAATCGAAATGTATGTCATTAGAAAACAAGATGTTACTGTAAACACTGCTATCACGCCGTACTTCGAGTTGTCTTCATGTTGAAAGCATAGATATATATATCCTATATAAAATGAAATTTTGTTGTCTCCTCTTCTCGAGAAGAAGAGGAAAGACAAAGAATAACATTACTCATATTTCCGTCTTATACTACGTACAGTGATTTATGTTCGTCACTGTTTATGAATCCGTAATTTCACAATTTCGGCATATTTGAAACACGTTCCAGTCCTAAGATATAATTATGAGTTCTGTGACAACCACATTTAGGTATAAGATATACTACAGATTGCACACATATATAATCTGTGGATATACTGTGATACAACGTAGCCTGATTTTGCATCATATTGTACCCACTGAACTCACCTAGAATGAGTAGTGAGTATTTTCATGGGCAGCAAGCATCGCAGAAGCAGTGATATTTGAAGAAATTTCACTGTTTCAGCCGCTACTGCATGAAGTTCGAATGTACAACCTTTATGAGTTTTTGAGTTAGTAGAGATTTGGTTATAATTGGATAAGGTGAAAAAAAAATAAGGTCCAAAATGATAATAGAGGTGAATGATTGAAAAGAAATCAAAAGCTTGCAACAAGTTCCATTGGTAAAACCAGTGTCAGAAGGGAGTGTTAGGTTAGGTCTAAAGTGAGTGAGTCTATTCGACCCTCCACCGCCAGAAAGGAGTTTATGTGTCATTCGTTGGAGTATCAGTTCATATGTTCTGAATTCGTTCTCATTCATTTCCAAAGTATTTATGCTTTTTTCTGTTTTTTACTTCAAACAGAAAGATGTATCCAACATCTCTACTCAGAGATGTTGGATACGTCGTTATTCGAAAGGAAAGTTATGGAGTCAGAGGTATGCTTCGAATAAATTCTTGGTTCTATTCGACAGAGTTTGAAAGTGTCTATTCGTTGCAAATATAGGGTCAATCCTTTAGATTTTTTCCAGTTGTCTGTTTTCTTGGAGAGGGGGGTAATTACTTCAATTACCCTCTTGAATTCGCCCTTGCGTTGGCTAGTGTAGCCGCGATACTACTATTCCCTCCGACGGAGGTTGCTGTAAATACTGTTTTATTCATGAATATAAATACATCTAGTGCCTTCTCTAGGTATTCCACTCTTGGCTTTTCGTCAGTGCCTTTATTCGGAAAATTTTGAGATTACAGCTAATACAATTCGTCTTAGTTAGAAGCATATTCAAATGACGCTGGTGCACTAGAAATTCTAGTTTAGAATATCCTTTCCAACGCAGAAAATATAAAGCGAATCGTTAAATTCTTCACAATTTCAGGCTAGAATTTCAATTATAATAGTTGAAATCTCAAATTCCCATAATGAAATGCACGGAATAATAGGGAAAGCACCAGAGAACACACAGTTTCGTGAATTATGGAAAACAAAAATATGGCTGTTCTATATGGCTCCATAGATTCAGTTAGACAAATACAATAATGCTTCTTTGTGGAAAATGACAGCACCGCCCAGTAAATCGATGAGAAATTGGAACATATAATCAATTGCCTTCTGTGTTGACAGTATTATTAGGCGTGGCCTACTCAATGGCAGGCGCGGATCCAGGAGGAAGGTGTTGTTGCATCCTTCGGCTGTTTGACACTTAGAATGGACACTCAAGTCGGCGCCTTCGGTCTAAAGAAGCCAGGAAAATATTCTTTGAAAGACAAATGAAGCTAAATAAACATGAAATCTGCTAAAAGGTAAACTGAAAAGTTCACTGTGAATAGTTACTGCGTTATATAAACCATTGAAGAGTCCAATTAACCGTGACTTGTCATATCCACAAATAGCTCTGTTGAATGATACCTGATTGCCCTTGCTCAGACGAGAGATTGTGAATGGAAATATGGACCTAAACTGAGTTTTTTGAAACTATCCTGTATGTGTTTTCATGAAAGAAAGTTAAGTAAATAAATTTCATCTTTTCTCATACATTTTTATATTTCATATATTTCAATTTGCAGCCAAAATTTATGAATACATGTTACTGACTAATCGGACTGTTCAGTGGTTTGAATTACGCAGTATCTTATCAGTTTGTCCTTCATTACAATTCGACAGATTTGCTCTTCATTAGGCTGTTTATTTTTCAGATTTTGGATGGTTAAATACCCAAAACGCAAATGAAACAGTCAGTGAAATTATGGGACCTCCGACTTCGAACTGTTCTGTGCCTCGAACAGAACGTAATCTGTGACACAGAACCATAAACTATCTTTCTCTGTTTTGTTCTGTACAGTTTGTCTGCGTCAACCAATGAAAAACTCGTCTTGAAATGATGACGCCTCTTTGCACAAAAATAACACTAAAAATTATTCTGAAGTCAATTGGATATCTTTTAAATTGTTAAACTAGGTATACGAAAAAAAAATCAGAAAATGTTTTCATGTCCAATATGAACTTCCCAGTGTATTATGGGCATTTCTCAATTTCCATGATTTTTTGTGTTCAATAACATTCACAATGAACAAGTTTTCATCAAAAATATATCTGCCTTTCAATTCTCAGTTCGATTTGTATCTATCAGAATTTCAACTCAAGTTTTTGCTAGGGAAATTGAATGTTGAAAATAATGTGTGTTTCCTTTGAAAACATCAGAAATAATTGTCATCAAGAGTATTAGAAAAAAATTTCCCAAATAATAATTCGAAAATAGAAAGCTTGCATTTTCAAAATATTCTTATAACAGAACAGAAAACTGAATTTTCATTGAAAATGAATATGGGCCAACCTTTATATGAAACATTTTTTTTACTCCTTCAACAATAACAAATAATTGAAAAAGAATTAAATCATCATACATTGAATATATTACATATGTCACAGTTACATTCTACCATAGTTATTATAAAAAGAGTTTTTAAGTTACACTGATACAAAATATGTAAATGATGTAGTTTTTTATTTACAACCTGCGGCTTGTCTCTTTTGCTCCTCCTCCTGTTTTTTCTTCTGCTTCTCTCTCATCAGTTCAGCATCTCTAAAACACAAAATATATTCAATCATCTGTCATATTAAAGAAGTGATGATGGCAACTCTTCTTTAGGAAGACACCTTCTATGGAATCAACAGAAAACTCATATGAATATTAAAAATTAACGAGGATCCCCCCAGTGTTCCTTTACATAACCTAGCTTTGACATCAGCCGCCAATTGAGAAATCGCTTTCTGTTTCCTCTGCAGCTTTATTTGCAAGCAGGCAACTAGATGATACCAGAGGCCAAAAGCTATACATCCGTTTTCCATTAACATGGTATTGGATCATGTTGTGCTCCGTTTATTTTGCTACCTGATATAATTGTTGTAATGATACAATGAGGTATATAGTGAGAACAATGTCCAGATTTAAGAAAGTTTTTGGATTTCTGCTAGGAAGTAATCAATTTTAAAATAAGTAACTCTATACATGGAATAAAATCAGATATCATTCTCAGGAGTTCTACTTTACATGAATGGTAACAAATTGCACTTACCAGGCCGATTTCTTTCAGATCAAGAGTTGTAACAGACTAGTTTTGCTTCAGATACATATAAGCAAATTCATATAATTGAAATTTATAAAAAAGTTGAATAGTAAATGAATAATTATACCCTGTTCTGATAGACAGGCAAGGCTACCAGTGTCATGAAATTTAAATAATAGAACTTTTATTTTATCAATTACTACCCTAGAAGCAACCCACAAAACTAATTTGCTACAACCAATTCAATAAATTTTCGAAAACTATCACTGAAAAATTATAATAACATTTGAACACTCTTCTTTAACAGCCTCAAAAATATATTAGGGTATAACAAACAAGTATAACTAAACTGGAATAATGTTTATAGTTAGATAATTCACAATTGAATGCACTCTATTTCCACGAATACAATTTGTCTGTATTGATTCATCAGTATACAAATAAATTGTTATATTTTTTATCACTGATTTTTATGACGCTCAGAAATACATCGAATACATCAGAAATAATAAATATTCTAGCAGTAACACATTAGAGAAACAAGACCCAAATGTTCTGGTGAGTTAAAAACAAGGGATGAGAAAAAATACAAAGCAAATAAATTATAATTAACTGGAATGATGGAAATTCCATATGGAATTATTGATTTTTTTTATGAAATGATCTGAAAATATTTAAATTTTTGATAACTATATGAACCCGAGTTGAAGTAAAAAGTGACAATGAAGTACTTAAGTGTTAATTTTTTCTTTTCGATTTTTCTGCCTCAAGTTTATTTTATGAATTTTATAAACATTTGATAGTATCTAATTAAACAAATTTCACAGGTACATATTTTGAAAAGCATATAGTCAATCTAAATCTTAGCAATTATTTCACATTTTTATTCAAACTGAGCAATTATAAAGAAATACTCCAACTGATATTACTTTTATGGATATCAAAGCATCAAATATAGAAACACTAATATTTTTTTCATTCCCAATAAGATCAAGATCAATGTTTGATTTATGAAAAGATTTTGACATATGTGATGGTATTGGCCGATACTCTACAGATACTTACACCAGAAAATTTCTTTTAGAACTGATGTGCATAATATTAATGTAAGATATAAAGGCCGACTAACTCCACCATCATTTCGCAAAGAGTTCTTTAGAAGGAGTTTCAGCTACCAGATCTGTGCAATTTATAATAATGACATTCCCGAGCCCATGAAACGAGATGACTTTTTGTTTATTCCTTTGCGTACTAGGCGACATTTTTGAGGTTGAGTGGAAGAGCAATTGAATGATGACTTGTCATCATTCGCCTTTTATCTTCTTATAATAAATGAACTGTTCCTGATTAATTTGCTTTAAATGTATTAGAAGCTAATAAAGACGATGTTATTATTATTATATGAGAGAGCTGTTGTATAGCAAAACAGGTGTGGAAATCTCACAATGAAGTGTTATTTGAATAAGGATTTTGACAGACGGAACATATCATTCATATTAGAAAGGCAAGATTTTGTTAGCATGCCTTTTTTTCAAAATAATTTTTCAAGAGTAAATTTCAAGAATACATTCCAACAGTAATTCCAAAATCCATTTAATGAACCATTTTTTCCAAATAACTGTTCCAGACCTTAATTTCAAAATAATTTCCAAACACCTTTCCAGAACATTATAGGAAGACCCATAGTGCCTTAAAGTCAAATAAGTCATAACCATCCATAAACAAGTCGAAATAACTAGAGCCCATAGATGATAATTCATCGTGTAACACTCCAATGCAAGTTAAAGAGACATTTACTTCAACCGAGTTATTTCTTCAAGATATAATTAAGCATGAAAATGTACATAATAACTAAACTGAATATCCAGATAATTTGTATTATGATTATCCTCAAAATGAACTTGAATTAATTTGCCACTGCAATCAGGAGTATTGTTCTCCATATCAACATGAAACAAACAATCAATACTGTTTATATAAATTCCCTGATGCAGCACATTCATTCACAGACAACACCAAGGACTTATCAGCTCAAACCACCAATGCACAATCTCATGACATTGCGAATTTATAGAAAGTGGACAGCTCCAACAAAAACAAATAATAAATGTGAATGTACAGTCTCATATACCCTAAATTAGCTCATAAATGTTACAGAAATATTATCAGTGAAGATTATAATATTCAAACTGCTCTTAGAATTAGTTATAATGATGAAATCATAAGTAGAATTTGGAACCTCTGCAGTAAAATAAATTTATTGAAAAAAATTCCCTCGCCAGAACAAAAGTGCCGTCTCTCGAAGCACGTTTCTCTAACCAAGTTAGTATCAAGAGATGACTAAAAAAACTACTTCTACAAGCTATGTTGATATTTTATATACATCTAGATGTGAAACATACATCTTGGTTAGTGAAAGAGAGACAGTATTTTTGTTCTGGTGAGAGAAAGGTGTTTTCAATAGATTCAGAAGGAAGTGATTGTAATTCAATTTTCCCAATGTTGATTCACTGGTGTCCATAAATTTCATTTATTCAAATTTAGTGACAAATATGATGGACTGATTTGCATTGATATGTCAAAATAACTTTGCTTTTCAATTAATGTTCATACAAAAGTAATTACTACATCTTTTGTAAAAGTGCAAATCATATATAAATCAGAAAAAATGACTAATTCAACCACTTACTTGAAAATGAAAAATAATTCTATTATATCACCAAAAATATCTACAGCAGTTAAGCTACCAGTAAATCAAGAAAAAATTATAGGATATCTAGGTTACATTGAATTTGCAAATAAAGTTGAATCATCAATAGCTGTTCTAAATGTTAACAACTATACATGAGCGAACTCACATATTATTGAGTGTCAAGAAATCACATCAGAAAAATATTTAAGCCAAGAGATCAAACTTTGAAAGGAAAAAGAAGATGCCTGAAGTACAGATGTTAAAATATTCATTACAAACTGCCAAGTTATTCCAACATGAACAAGCTGAACAAGAGTGTGACACCAATGAAGACGTTATTATCCCTCCAAATTAGAGTTATCAAAACTCTCAATTAACCTTCTGAACACCATTTCTCTAAATACCTAAACACAATGAGAAACATAGGCACAAATATCAACCATAGTAAATAAATCACACACATCTTAGCAAAAGGACTATACTGAATAGATGAAGTATAATGATCTACTATTCAAAGGAACTTGAATGTTTTATCTAGTGCACAAGTAATGTTTGGAAAATTCCATTATCTATAAAAGTTCAAAGCTATTTTCAATCAATCTTCTGTAGTGGGATTCTTCAAAAATGTGGGGGAAAGAACATCCCTTATAGCTCTATTCACTTCATTTATAATAATGTGCATTGTTGATATTCCCATTTTGTATAACCATGCCAAACTTTGCAATGAAACACTTGCGAAATATAGTTCGAAAACTGAGATATTTGATTTATTGAAACATAAAGGTCATTTATACCTTACTGAAGGGTAATTTCTAGCTTTTCCTAGGGGTTAATTATGCCAGAAACTGTTTATTTTCAAATTTTAGGAGCAATTTCCAGATTTTTCAAAAGACTTGACAGAGCGATTTGCGCATGCGGAGTGTTAGAACTAAATTCCTTTTGTATAATGATTGTGTTGATGTTCATTTAGCTTTATGTTAGTTAATCTATAAACCCAGCTTTATTTGGCACTTACTGCCTCTCCAAGTCACCATTGCTATTACGGGATAAGAGATAATGTTGATTTTAATAGATTCAGTCCTATCTTAATAAGATACACCTCAAAATAAAACATTTATTGTCATTTTAAATATTGAATATTGCCAGGCTTCTTCCATATTAAGAAAACAAAACTAATAAATTATCAAAAAAGGGGTGTAGTGCCAGAAAAATATCTCACCTGAATTTTCGTTGTTCAACTGTCAAACCATCCGATTTCTTGTTCTTGGCCAGATCCTGTTGTTTCTTTTGGTTTTTAGCTCTCGCAAGTTCACGTTGGTTTCCACCTTCCAAGAAAAATCTAAATAAAAAGTTGAATGTAGTTAATTACATTACTTACGAGTCATTTTGGATGTATAGTAGGAGAAAAAGTTAAAAATAATCGAATAAATTCAATGTTGATGCCTCCGAAGGCCGCAGCCTCTTTTCTAAAAAACTTCTATACAGATCTTTTTCAATCTTCTGAACGAAATGCCCACACTTCTATCGTAAGTCGTGAACTGTCAAAGATAAATTAGCTTTGTTGAATCTGAAATGTTATCTGAAACTCTGAAATATAAAGCACAGAATATCTGATGCACAGAATATAACTTTCCATTCTGTGTCTGAAGTCTGGTCCAGAGTTGCCGCATGGCATTTTATTTTAGTACTAAAATTCCTTCAATTTCGTGTCGGATTAAAAAATTCGAAAATTTTTGCTCTATAACTTTAATATAAAGACATGTCTTGTTATTGAAACAAATGGTTACACTATCAACATATTTTAACAGGTTATGCAAAAATATCACTTTGAAAAATCACTCAATTAGCAAGTGAACATTCAAAATATATTTCCAGAAGTCGAAACTAGTACGAGCTAGAAATCAACGAAATGTCACTTTTCAACGTGCAATTCCTTGCTTGGATTGAACGATGCGCAGTGAAAATAGATCGTCCGTCTGTCGGGATCGAATTACCGTTCACATTGTGGTTGATGAAATGATTAAAACGAACCACTCAAGCTAACCGACCGGCTACCGACCCTGTCTTTTAACATTCTCATACATCAAGAACACAAACAAATGAAAGCATTGAAATTTTCACGTTTCATCAGTTTTGTGCGCTTGATCTTTAAGTATTTGTTCAACGTCAAGAAAAATTAAACTGTTTCGAAATAAAATTTCGAAACATTAACGTACCTACACAGTAGCTAATACCACGCTGAAATTTTCTCACATTTTGAATTATATGTATCTTTTAGTTTCAGTTTGAAAAATTTTCCATGTGTGAAGTATACCTAAAAACGTTATTTTATTGAAGTCTGATGTTTATCAAGTTAAAATACTGTAACAAGAGACTAGCTGATTTATACATCAAACTTTCACTATCACTTCATCTTTTTCACTTTTAAAAAGTTACGTAAATTTAGGGAGTTTCATTTTTCCTTCCGATATTGTTGACTCGAAAATTATATGTCGGTGTTATTGTGCAAAAATAGAGAATTCCAGTACCAACAAAGAACAGGGTTTTGTTACCAATAATATTGACCATAATGTCGGTTACCGCACGAGCATTATTTTTGTTACTGTCAGGTCCAGAAAGATTATCGAATTATTGTTTTCAAGTTCTATTGTGAATATCTCACAATGAAGTGTTTCTTGTGTTGTGGAATTGGCCGCGGTGGTAGTGCGCTCGACTCACGATCAGAAGGCCGTGGGTTCGATTCCCGCCTCGTCCAGATATTTTTCTCAAGAGAATGTATCTGGTTAAAGCTGGGATGATTCTGCAACCGTGTTAGGAATCACACGTTAATAGGTAAGACCTCTTTAGTCCTTAGCTCGCACAAGTTTCTCAACTTCTGAGAGTTGTCGTTCGTATGGGGGCGACAGCTGATTAACGGAAAATTTCAAACAGAGATTTAAACATATTTTTTGAATATGTTGAAAGAATGACTGTAATTGTTAATGTGGATAAGCAGGCTAAAGCGTCGCCTACATATTAGTACTAATTAATAGTACCAATTAATAAGATTTTTACTTGCGTGAAGTTAGCGTCGAACACCAGCGCTCAAATCTAGCGCTCACCCTACAAAAAGTAAACATGAAACATGACACAACCTCTCTCTGCTAGATTGCAACTGGAGAAATTTATAACCAAGTGAAGAATGTTAGCAGAAGAAGGATTTATTGAATATCTAGCAAATTTCCAGGTGTCATGGAAAAGTGAATTCCCATCACTTGGGTTGAATCTGCCGCTTCCTAAACTATAAATTGTCCCCAATTATGACCGAGTGAAAACTGTTATTACAGAGATGATGTTTTGGACACTGCATTTTAGTATTTTTAGTATCTCAAAATACCAGCATCATAGCAAAAAAACCTTTCACATCAGATGAATACTTTTTTCTTTTATGAACTCTCTCTTGAATCATTTTTTGCTACTTAAACTGTCACTTATACCCGAATATGACCTAGTGAAAAATGTTAATGAAAAATGTACTGGATATTGAATTCACTTCACTTCACTTCACTCAAAGTTCTTGGCCTTTGCTTCCCTATAGGCGCATTTAGCCAGAGGATATTGAATTTGTAGCCTTTCAAAATAGTGAGATCATAGAAAAAACACCCCCTCCATATCAGATGATTGATTTCTCTCTTCGTAAACTGTCACTTGTCCCCGTCTACGACCAAATGAAAAATGTTGATGGAGAAATGATGTACTGAAAACTGAACTTTCAGTTCTCCAAAATAATGACGTCATAGAAAAAAAAATACCACTTCTACTTCAGAATGAATATATTTTATCTTTGTAAACCGCCTATTGTCCCCGGATACTAGCAAGTGAAAAACGTGGAAGTGGTTTTTCTCTGTGAAGACTGAAAATTTAGTGTTCAGTACATCATTTCTCTATTAACATTTTACTTGATCGTGTTTCGGAGCAAGTGACAGTTTACTGACGTAGAAGGGGTGTTTTCTTCTATGATGCCATTGTTCCGGAGGACCGAGAATTCAGTGTTCAATGCAAAATTCCTTCATTAACATTTTTCACTAGGTCACATTTTGGGACAAGTGACAGTTCAAGAAGGAAAAAAAATCATCTGACGTTGATGGGGTGTTTTTTTTTCTATGGCGCCATTATTCTGGTGGAATGAGAATTCAATAATGAGTATATAATTTGTTTTTTAACATTTTACACTTGGTCGTAATCAAGGACAATAAGTGACAGTTTACCGAAAAAATAATTATTCATCTAACGTAGAGGGGGTGTTTTCTCTGTGACCCCATTATTTTGAAAGGCTACTAATTCAATATCCAGTAGATCATTTCTTCATTAACATTTTTCAGCAGGTCATATTCTGAAACAAGTGGCAGTTTAATAAGCAAAAAATTATTTATCTGAGATGGAGGTTTTCTCATGACGCCGGTATTTTGAGAGACTGAAAGTTATAAGTATGAATAAATCATTTTCCTTTCAACCATTTACAAGTGAAAAGTGACAGTTAACGAAGAAAATGATTAATAATCTGATTGTGTAGGAGGTGTCTTCTTTTCACCTCACTGTTTGGAATGATTGAAAATGCAGTGTCCAGAACATCGTCTCTATGGTTGATAACAGTTTTTACTGTTAGTTTAGGAAGCGAAATATTTCACCCAAGTGATGGAAGTTCATTTGTCTATGACACAGATACTTTCAAGTCTAGAAAATTAACTGTTCAATAAATCCTTCTTCTGCTAACATTTTTTCCACTTGGTTATGCATTTCAAAAACTGTAATCCAACGTGAGTTGTGTGTTTTATATCTATCGCTTTCATTGTGTTTCAGTTCTTCACCTAGTCATTATATTATAGATTTTATAAAAGCTTCATGAAGTATAATAATATTTTTAAGTTGAAATCAATCATGTAAAATATTGAATATCAAATTAGCGATATTCTTGAATCAACAATCCATTAGTTGTGTGGTATAAATCAGACTCGAGAGTGGGCGGTGGGCGTTAGACTTGGGCGCTGGTGTCCGACGCTAACTTCACGCAAGTGAATTTTTTGAAAGTTGTGTGTTGTCCATAGATATATATACTTATTATAATTTCTATGGTGTCCATTTTGGATTCAATAGCACCGTTAATTTATACTGTCACATCAAAGACAATACTAATACTTCCAAAACACTGACACAGGAAACGCATCAGAAAAGATAAGCAGACTACTAACTAAACAAAACGTCAACATAACATTCAAGACTTATAACACCTTAGGTAAACATAAGAAAAACGACAAATGCAAAATCGACAAGGACAAGTCAAGTGTCTACAAGCTAAAATGTAGCTTGTGCCAGAAAGTTCATTTTGGAAGAACATCTAGATATTTCAAAACCAGAATCTCAGAACAACAAAGAGGTTTTGAATTAAAGAAAACCAATTCATCCTAGCATGCCATCTGTTGGAAATCAACTAAGACTTCGACAGAAACTACCATGTACTACATATAGACATTGTCTGGATCCTTAGATAATGATACAGATAAAAAAGGACAAAACTTAAACTTGCTGGAATCCCTGGAAATTAGTGAATGTAAATAATCAAATGTCCTGTTGAACGACCAACAAACAGTCAATTTCTCACCACTGTTAAATTTATTTTCAATAACATTTTGTAGAACTAAACGAATCATAAGTAATAATAATTCACCTTCTTTTTAACTGCTGGGAACCTGTTCTCAGAACTATCTATTTACCAATTAGTAATATCTATTAATTGAGGTCGATAATTTGTATAAACTGCTTTGTATTGTAAAGTAATGTGAATTACCAGTCCAGCTGAGCGCCTGCTACTTTGTAATGAAACGCGTATTACAAATAAAATCTTTAAAATATTGTAAAAATTTATAATCATTTTCATGAATAAAGGTTTATGTTTAAACCACTATTAACCAGTTTCATTTCAAGCTCAAATCCAAAATTCGTATTCATTCAATTTCGTGTTCTTCATACTGTACAAAACACGAAACAATTTTTAGTCGTGTTTCTCATTATTGAAAGAAAATGACAGCTGACTTCGTATGAAAAAGTGCTGTGCAAATAGAATACTCAATGCACTGTTATTTTTGCGATTCGCAATGAAAATGCGAATGTTTGGAGCATGAACAAGCCTTAATCTTGGTCGCTGATAATTTTTACTTGACTGTCAGATAATCTGACAGATAAGCGTGGCAACATTGGTAGTGCTTCAATGCTCAGGATGCTATTGTAAATCACTGTCAGTGTTGGTGTATCACGTATAGCTAAAGGTTTGTTAGGCTGTTGTTGTGGTATTAGTGAGGTGTGAGTTTTTAAGTGGTGGTAAGTGAGCGCGATTGTTGAAAATAAAGTTATATAGAGCGGTTGGGTAATTTAAATTAGGTAGGATTCAGATTATTTAAAAAAAAAATCGATTCTATTTATATTTCCTGAAACTTTCAAAAAAAACTCGTGTGAGTAGGTTTGTCGTTTTTTCTCTCAAAAAACAATTGATGTTTTTTGGAAGCTTATTCCTAAAAAACGTTATTGCTTTGGTTTCTAGAGCCATGGGTGATACGGGAAACCAAGATTCTGAACCAACTGAGATTAACGCGGATATGGTGACCAAGGAAGATATTAAATCTCTTATAAATCTTTTTGCTAAAAAATCCTACAATGCTGGAACAGTGGACCCTGAGGTGATATGAAGTTTAATGTTTTAACCCCTGATTAAACTCAACTGCTTATTTTTTTTTAGATGAATGCCATTTTAGAGCGGTGTATTCGTTTCCTGGAATTGGATTATAGTGTCGCAGTCGTTCAAAATGATCTGGGTGAGTTGAGTTACAACTATCCTCATCAGCTGCCAATATTGGAATATGAGAAAAGACGTTATCCTGATGATCACACGCTGTCTCCCCAAAAGAAAAATATGTCTCCTAGAAGAACAAATTCATCTCCACAAAGAACAAACTTATTTCCTAGGAACATAAATTCCTCTCCTTTAAGGACCAGTTTATCTCCTCGAAGGACAAGTTTGTCTCCTCGAAGGACAGGTATGTCTCCCCGAAGCACAAGTTTGTCTCCTCGAAGTACAAGTTTGTCTCCTCGTACAAATTTATTTTCTCCAAGAACAAGTTTGTCTCCCCCACAGACAAACATCGTTCAAGAAAGGATTGATGTTCAAAAAGTTCGTGAACTATTCAACAATGCAAAGTTTTCTAGGTAACATTTTATTTAAATGTTTTTCTTTCAATTTTAATCTCACAAATATCTTTTTAGATGCCGCACACGCTTTCCTATTCCTGTAATTATGTATAAAGGCAAATATATCTGTCGTTCCTCAACATTATCTAGAGGTTTTGAAATGTATGGAAGGAATGGTTTGCAATATTTTGACATCTATAAATTACGTTTCCGTGATGATACCACTAAGGATGAAGCTGAAAAATCTTCTGGAAAACTAATAGAATCTGCACAGGAGTTAGATGATATAGCTGAAACGCCTGCAAAAAATGAAAATGTCACAACTGTTCCTTCTCATTTCTTTGAAAAAATTCGTAACAGTGATATTAAATTATTGAAGTATTTCAAAGTGGAAACTATTATAGATATCATGGTTGAAAATCAGAAGGTCAAATATGGAATGTAGTAAGTTTCTCTATATTTGTATTAAACATCTGTACCTTTTAAATGTTTAACTGATACTTCATTTTCAAAAGTTACAACAGCTAATGCTTTATTTGAAAGTAGGATAATCCAAATATACATACATTTTTAATATTGTAACAAATATTCAAAATTAATTCTATTTACAATTTATGGTTGAAACACTCCAGACAAATACAGTAACAATAAGAGTGTCAAAAGTTTTTCGATCAAGAATTATTTTCATTTGCTTAATTCTGAAAATATTGTGAATTTTCCACTTCGGTTGAGATTTTGTTGAAATCACTTGAACCCTTGAAAAGAATTTTCATTGATTTTATATTACTGATTTAAACCATATGAGAAATATTCACATTTCTTGTGAGGTAACTGTGGTTATTATTATTCTTAGTATTATTAAAAAAAGAGGTAAGATATCAGGAGCCATATTTTTCAATATTTGTGCCATTGTGATGACGTAAAGACTTTTAGCCACATTATGCCAATTATCTGCATTACATCAATTGGCTTATATCTATTGCATTGTAGAATGATTCTCATGGCCAAAACTAAATGGAAATCCATAATGTATTCGAGTAACACTTCTTGTAATAAAAACTCGTGAAATGATACCTTCCTCTCACTATTGCATACTGCATACCTCTTTCACTGGTTAGGACTTCCATTGTCTACTATATAAAATGATTTGAAATTCCTGAAACAACTAAAAAAAAGAAAATTAAAAATGAAAAGCTGAAAATAACAATTATTTAAGCAAAATAAACCTGAAATGAAATAATAGTGAAATAAACTACAAGTGAAAATATAACAATTGAATAAACAAAAATAAAGGAATGAAAAAAGAAAATAATAAAAAGTGTAGAGATTCCAAGTCACGTTAGTTCACGACGTTTCGATTGTTAGTATCTACAATCGTCTTCGTCATCACCCGAATTTATTCAATTGTTATATTTTTACTTGTAGTTTATTTCACTATTATTTCATTTCAGGTTTATTTTGCTGAATATAATTGTTATTTTCAGCTATTCATTTTTAATTTTTCTTTTTTTTAGTCGTTTCAGGAATTTCAAATCATTTTATATAGTAGACAATGGAAGTCCGAACCAGTGAAATTCATCATGAAACATTGTCAATCACCTTCAAACAAACGCTGCATACTTCTTATTCACTCAATTCAAATGTTTTCACAGGAAAAAAAACTTCTGTTACACCAAAAAACCCTTTTTTGGAATAATGTTATGAATGATATTTTCACTACATCAGTGTTTTTATTACTTGTTGGTAATGCTACCACAAAAAGTCAAGTCAAGAAAGTTGTTGCTAACTTTCAAAAATTTTACTTTGCTTTCCCTAGGAGATGAAAAACATGAGTTTCTTTCAACCATATTTTAATATTCATTAGTACTTAAAATTAGTACTTAGTACTTTCTTGTGACTCTACATTTCTATCACGAATTTACACATTATTCTAGTTCTATACTGTACAAAATTTTCTTTTCATGAAAAATTAAACAAACATACACATAGTTGAATCATTTGTCACAGTAACCTTCATAAGGTTACGCTTAGTTCTTTGTTACATTATAGTCATATAATTCTGCTATGTAAATAAAAGTAACTTGTCAATTCTGAATTATTTTAAACAAAACATTACACAAACTCAAAACAAAATCTATCGAAGAAGGTACATTTCTTGATAGGCATGTACTGCAGTTATATAAAAAACTGTACATAGAAAAACGTTAATGTTTATTCAATCATACAAATGAATGTAACTGTTAACGTTCGATTCCTAGCATGGGTTGGACGATAGGAATAGAAAATAGATCATCCGGCCCCTGGGCTCGAATCTCCGATTCACACAGAGGTCGTTCACACGCTAACTGGCCTCTCGGCCGGTAGCCATTTAA